AATTTCCTCCCTTCATGGGTCCAAAATTTGAAGACTGATTGTTGTAATTGCCAAAATCATTGTAGCTTCCACCACCTCCAAAATTGCTTCCATCATTATGAAATCCACTGTACCCATCCCCACTGCCACCATATCCACCACCACCACGGCTGCCACCAAAGCCACCTCGACCACTGAAGTTTCCTCCACAGCCAAAGTTGTCATTCCCACCAAAACCACCTCCACGACCGCCACCAAAGTTTCCAGAACCACTTCGACCTCTTTGGCTGGATGAAGCACTAGCCATCTCTTGCTTTGACAGGGCTTTCCTTACTTCACAGTTGTGGCCATTCACAGTATGGTATTTCTGAATGACAGTCTTATCCACAGAATCATGGTCATCAAAGGTTACAAAAGCAAAGCCCCTCTTCTTGCCACTGCCTCTGTCAGTCATGATTTCAATCACTTCGATTTTCCCATACTGTTCAAAATAGTCTCTTAGGTGATGTTCTTCAGTATCTTCTTTAATACCACCAACAAAGATCTTTTTCACAGTTAAGTGGGCACCTGGTCTTTGAGAATCTTCTCTGGAGACAGCTCTCTTTGGTTCCACAACTCTTCCATCCACCTTGTGTGGCCGTGCATTCATTGCTGCATCCACCTTCTCCACAGTAGCATATGTGACAAACCCAAAGCCCCTGGAGCGCTTGGTGTTTGGATCTCTCATTACCACACAGTCTGTGAGCGTTCCCCATTCCTCAAAATGGTTCCTCAGACTCTCATTGGTCGTTTCAAAGCTCAACCCTCCGATGAATAGCTTCCGCAGCTGTTCAGGTTCTTTAGGAGACTCTGACTTAGACATGACGGCAGTGGGAAGAGAGACTTTAACGTTGCTTCCTCGGCAGCGTCCATGGGCAGAAAGGAGTAACCTAACGAACGTATTTCCGTGATCCCATTCTTGACTAAACACATACACACACCACCCCCCCCCCCACAAGCGAGGGTCCCTTGAAGAAATAGCTGATTCCAGGTCTGTGGCAGGAAATACACAAGATGAACTTGGAAGAGCTTGTCATTCTAGAAATCTAGGAATCTAGCAAAGACAACTATAACTGTGGGAGTCATCAACTTGAAGAAGCTCCAACTGACCAAGATGTGACTATAAACATTAATAAGAATATTAACTGCAATGGATTGAAATATATTAAGAATGTATATGGCCGGGTGTGGTGGCTCATGCCTGTAATCCTGGCACTCTGGGAGGCCAAGGGGGGAGGATTGCTTGAGCTCAGGAGTTTGAGATCAGCCTGAGAAAGAGCGAGATCCCATCTCTACTAAAAGTAGGAAAAATATTAGCCTGGCAACTAAAAATAGAAAAAAATTAGCCAGGCATGGTGGTACGTGCCTGTAGCCCTAGCCACTTGGGAGGCTGAGGCAGGAGGATCACTTCAGCCCAGGAACTGGAGGTTGCTATGAGGTAGGCTGATGCCACGACACTCTAGCCCAGGCAATAGAGTGAAACTCTGTCTCAAAAAAAAAAAAAAGAATGTATAATACATAAAAAAATAATGATATGGTAATCCTCCCTCATCTGAGGAATATGTTCCAAGCCCCCCAGTGGATGTCTGAAACCACGAATAGTACTGAACCCTATCTATATGTCCTATGTTTTTTTCTATATATACATACCAATGATAAACTTTAATTTGTAAATTAGGTACATCGCTTCTCGGCCTTTTGTCTAAGATCAAGTGTATAAATTAGGTACAGTGAGAGATTAATAACAATAATAATAAAATAGAACAATTTCAACAATATGCTGTAATAAAAGTTATGTGAATATAGTCTTTCTCTCCCTTTCTCTTAAAATACCTTCTTTTATATAATACTTTCTGACCTTGGTTGATGACAGGTAACTGAAATGACAGGTAATTGAACCCACGAAAGTGAAATTGAGAATAGGGGGTACTACTGAACAGTACTTTAAAAAAAAAACACCTCACTGATCATCCTTGGGGGATACTAAAGAATCAACTTAATTTGAAACCCAACCCATTAAGGAAATAATCAAGCATTTATCCAAATAAATGATGATAGGGAAGTTTCTCTTTTTAGAGTATTTCAGCTAATAAATTAAGGAACAATAGTATTAAAATATCACCATTTTGCAAACTTTAATTAATGGATGGAGCTTGGCAATTGTGCTGATCAATTTTTTGCGTCAACTTGGTTAGGCTATAGTACACAGTTATTCAATTAAGCACAAATCTAGATGTTCCTGGGAAGATATTTTGCAGATATGGTTACTATCTATGGTCAGCTAACTGTACATAAAGATTAGCCTCAATAATATCAGTGGGGCTTGTCTAATTAGTTGAAAAGCATTAAAAGCAAAGCTAGATGTTTCCCGGAAGTCTCCCTGGCTGCAGTATGAACTTCGCTAGTGATGTGCCTCCTGATGGAACTCTACCACTTATGATGTATTCTTGCCAAACAAAGTCAAACCTGATTCTGATCAAGCCTTGTTTTTTTTAAGAGATAGGGGTCTTGCTATGTTGTCCAGGCTGTTCTGGAACACCTGGCCCTAAGCAATTGCCCCTGTCTCAGCCTCCTAAATTGAGCCACCATGCCTGGCCCTGTTCAAGCCTTTGGATCTAACTCCTGATTTAGAGGAAATACAGAGAACAAAGCAATATATTAAATGGCACGACGGGGATGCAAGCCGCAAAATCAGACTGTGGAACTGTGACCTGGGACAAATAACCAGCTTCTTTCCACAAATACATTACAATTAATCAATCGACCAGTAAGTGGGGGGAGGGATAATCTATAGATTAAAGGAGATTTAAGAAATATAGCAAATAATTGCAGTGTATGAACTTTGGATAAATTATTTTTTAAAAAGATGCTTTATGAGACAATTAGGGAAATTTGAGCACTGGCTAGATATTTAATGACATTAAGGAATTATGATTAATGTTTTCGAGATGTCGTAGTGGTTTGTGTTTTTAAAAGAACTCTTATCTTTAGAGACACACACTGAAATATTCATGGATAGAATGACATGACATTTGGGATTAGCTTCGATATAATGGGAGTGCAAGGGGGAGGGTAGTGGTGAGAGTCTAGATGAAACGAGATCAGCTATGAGTTGCTAATTGTTGCAACTGAGTGGTGCTTTGGGCTTTAGCATACAGCTGTTTCTACTTTGGGATACATTGGGCATTTTCCACAATTAAAAAGCAAAGCAAAACTGAGCGCCAGCCTGCAGGAAGAAGGAAGGGAGGAGAGGGACATTCTCCCTCCCTTCAAGGGAAGTCACACACAGTTCTTACATCCTACTGGTTAGAACTTAGCCACGTGGCCACACCGAGCTTCAAAAGAAGATGGAAAATGGCGAGGCGCGGTGGCTCACGCCTGTAATCCTAGCTCTCTGGGAGGCCGAGGCGGGCGGATTGTTTGAGCTCAGGAGTTCGAAACCAGCCTGAGGAAGAGCGAGACCCCGTCTCTACTAAAAATAGAAAGAAATTAATCAGACAACTAAAAATACATAGAAAAAATTAGCCGGGCATGGTGGTGCATGCCTGTAGTCCCAGCTACTCGGGAGGCTGAGGCAGGAGGATTGCTTGAGTCCGGAGTTTGAGGTTGCTGTGAGCTAGGCTGACGCCACGGCCCTCTAGCCTGGGCAACACAGTGAGACTCTGTCTCAAAAAAAAAAAAAAAAAAAAAAAGAAGATGGAAAATGTAGTCTTTACTCTGGGCATCATGTACACATAAAAATCAGGAGTCCTTTTACTAAGAAAAAAGGGGGAATAGCTACTATGAGAAAACTTTAGTGATCCCTGCTATATTGGTAAGGGCAAAATATCTATTTAAAAATCAGTTGTAACATGTTGTTCCCTCCCTCCATGTCTGATAATATAATGTAGGAAATAATAATGGTCCTGTGGAAATTAAGCAAAAGGGATCGTGAATATGACAGATTTTTGGTTGTTATGCCACAATTCTCCCTAAAAACCGGCAATAAGTTTTGCTGACCTAAAATGTAAGGCAAGAAAAAAAACCTCTCGGTTAACTGTAGATCAAATACCACCATATTAAACCACATTGAAACAATAGTCTCTGTTATAATAAAGAATTTTTCCAAGCTCAATACAATAGAAAAATTTGAACAATCATTACAGTCTGATCTGCACTGATGGTAAGAAGCAGCGGCAGACACACAGCGTTCCCTTCCATTGATGTGGGCCACTAACCCTTAGGTGGACCCTGGACTGTCACTGGATAAATTCATCCACCCAGAAAACCTTCAGCACACTTAATATATGCAGGTAGCTTTAAATAATCATCTATTCAGCACTCCTGCAGACTATACATTCAAATAATGCTGTCTACCTCCTCCAATGGTGCAACATCAACAACCCAACTCCTTAGGAGCTCACATGACGTGATCACTTCATACAATACCTGGAACAGAGGAAACGTCAAACAGCTTTAGCTTTTACTGTTGCTATTTTAAAATCAGCACTACTCAGGCCTTGAAGCATATTGCTTTAAAAGCAGAATTCTTAAACAAAAATGTTTAAATGTAATAAAAGAGATCTAGTTAGATCTACCTATATTTCTGAAGGTATTAAGAAGGTAAGAGGCGCCTGTTTACAGAGATTAAGCTCACTGAAGAAACACTAGCATGTTAATGGAAAGTTGTTTAGGTTAATATAAATAAGAATTTTCATTAAAAGCCTATAGTATCATGAAAATCTTTGATTTCTTAATGATAGGGAACAGAATCATTTAATAAAATGAAAAACAACTCTTTTTTTAAATCTTCATTTTTAAAAACCTCAGACATTGAAATAAAAATTCATTCTATGAAAGATCACTGGAATCAGAATTTTCCATACTCCCTCATCCCCAAACCAAAATAAGTGAATAAGTGGATAAGTAAAAGTCATTGAAAATTTAGTACAGTAGTAACCGGTTTTTCAAAGTCAGGTCTATATATCTGTATGAAAATACCTTACTGCTGTCTGAATTGAGATTCTTACTTGAAAATTAAAGGAATGGTTCAACAGAGATCACTGATTTATAGACCTGTAAGAGGTCTAATTCCTGAATTTTTTAAGAGCACAATGGTGCCATCACAGCTCACTGCAGCCTCCGACTCCTGGGCTCAAGTGATCCTCCTGCCTCAGCCTCCTGAGTGTGGGGGACTACAGGCATGCGCCACCACATCTGGCTAATTTTCCTTATTTTTTGTAGATATTGGGCCTTATAAACTGGTCTTGAACTCCTGGCCTGAAACAATCCAACTGCCTCGGCCTCCCAAAGTGCTGGGATTACAGGTGTGAGCCACTGCACCCGGCTTTATTTCATCTTTTGGAGGTTATCTTTTCTTTTGTTACGTTTTAAAAATACACAAGGACAGAGAATAATGTTAACATCTGTTTCCCTACCACCCAGGATTAACGAAGTTCAAGAATTTGCATATTTGTTTCACATTATTTTAAAGAAAAGAAAGCAAATATTTTCCCCTCCCCCTGTCATTCTCCTCCTTTCCCAGAGGCAATCACTCTCATACAGTGTGAATTCTTGAAAGTCTGCTTTTATACTTTAACTACATTGGCTATAGGTATCCATTGAAAATATACTGAATTGTTCTGATCTTTTATTTGTTTCACATAAACAAGTTATAAGCACCTTCTGCAACTTCTTTTCATACCGGGTTTAGTCACATATACATAATACAGATCTAGTTTGTTCATTTTAATTGTTGTCTGTATCATAATAAATTATACAAATATGTAATTATCCATTTTGCTATAGGTGATAATGTGAATTATTTCCAATTTTCCAACATTACAAATAATGTGATGGTTAACATCTTTGCATATGACTCCCTGTATGTATGTGTATTTCTCCAGTATAATATACCT